ATAAGGGTGTTGGTGGTGGGGGTGAGGGGGGGGGGGGGGGGGGGGGGGGGGGGGGGGGGGTCACGACCTGGCGGATTGATATTATGAAATCCTGACGTACGTATCTGATGCACTAGTGATACATTCATAAAGCGCGGGGTTGATGATGAAACGACCCGTTCGCAGTAACTCCAACGGGCGTTATTATCGTCGCCACGGCGGTTGGTAAGGCTTTACCGCGCCGGTTGTTCTCGTAAATCGTTGTTCTATAGTGTGGGAAGTAGTGCGTGGCGGAAGCACAGAGCGCTGTGGGAGCGGAGGTGACGCGGCAGGTCGCTCAGCTGATGAAGGTAAAGCTGCTGCTGCTGCTGCACTGTGTCTAACAGCTACTACAACACTGGAACAAATAGGTAATTATAACAACACCGAGAGATATATATACACACATATATAACTTCAGTGTCCGGGAATCGTCGTACATCATATGCGCATCGCAGCCCTTCGTGTGAATGAGGAGCCGTGTAATATGAGTGAGAAAAGCCAGACGAAAGAAAAAATGGTTTCCAGTTGTCATCCCTCGAGCCCTTTTCCTGTTCCCCTTGTTTGTTTTTCAGTTTTATATATTTAAGGAGGACACTTTTTGGCGTTAATGTAATGGTAGGTGCAACAAACCACTTGAATCCTTTTTTTACAACCTTTGTGAGGTATCGAGAGGGAATTGAGACTCGTTTACATCCCCTTTGGAAAAAAATATACATGCCGTTAGATCCATAAAACTGAGAGACCAGCATCTGAATTGTGCAACGTACATGACGACTGATTTTCTGTTGTTTTTGTTAGGTTTTTAGGGGGGGGGGGCATTTTAGATTTTTTTTAAGACATTAATAATTATAATATAACAGCCCACGAACTAGAAGGTAACGAGAACTGAAAACTGAATACAAGTTTCTGTTTATTTCACCTTCTTTGTTTATGGGTAATATCACGAAACGTCTTATTGAAACGAAGGCAGATTGCGTCCATCACAAGTGCTGACTTTCCTGTGGTCTCCAGTCGTGTCGAGGTGAAATGTTGATTAGTGTAGCTCGCTGGTGCTGCTAGTTTGTTTACGTCTTCAGTCACTTTGACCTGATCTTGCCCGCTTACACGTCGACAGGAGACCGGCTTCGCTCTTTAGCTTTAACATATGTAGGCCAAATACTGACAACAACGGTACAATCGTTCCCTTTTTAGTACTATTGTGATGATTGTTCACGTTATACTGTGTTTTGTCTTTGCTGTTGTAATTAATAGCGGTTATTTGTTGATAATCGCTTGTCACGCTTCGTCCCTTCAGCAGATTAGCATTGGATAGCCGTGCTAACAGTGTTAGCACCATAGACAGCTTAAAACAAAGCTGGACGGTTTTCTCATTCTGCACTTGAAGCTAATGCCAGGCTGTCTGTCGGTCTTAAAAGTGGTGTTAATTTATGAGTAACTTGACGCAATTAGGTTTTTGAGTGTTTTATTTAACTTGGCGTGGCTAGCGTGATGGCTAGCATTAGCTGATCATGATTATCACTTGACTTTATTTCACTCTCCATCGTGTGTTGTTTTCTGTATTGCTTCGCAGCAGCCGTGGCAACGTAGTTTTGAATGTTTATGCGTTTTTATATGACGACCACAGATGATTTGAATGAGCAAATCGACTGTGCAGGGCCACAAAACGCGAGAGCGGTGTGTAACGCTAAGGCCTCGGAGTGCGAAAATCAACTTTATCTTAATGTATTTAGTTTATTTGTAACGAACTGAACGCTTGCATGTCTGTGTGAAGGGATGTTTCGTGGGGTTCGGTCGTGTACGGATAGTTAGTGGGTTTCGGTTGATAGGAGTTCGTTTCATGGACTGGGCAAAATAAACAAAAGGATCGACTCAGGCCTGTTCTGAGAACGGCCTTCATAATCGTGTCGTATTTTCATGTTAACAGTCCAACGCACAAAACTGCGCTTGATCGCGTCTAACTTGTTTCTGTAGTCATTTGAAGGGATTCGACTCGTAATCATCGATATCAGGTCACCCTCACTTCAGGGAAGTAGAAGTCTCAGTAGTGTGCACAGGGTATTTTTTGACATGTTTGGGGCAGCTCGTCGATTGTTTGACGTATTGGTCGAAATGAACGCTTTTCTTGTTCAGTTCTATACATTTTTGGGCTTTGAATCATATATTTGACGTCTAGTGTTTTGAATGTCATGGACGTTGTTGAGCTCGCTGAAGTAGCGTTTAATGGTGGTGTCGTTGTGAGGAGGAAGGCCACAAATATTCCCCATATCCTCACTTTTAAACTCTATTTGGTTTGTTAACGGCTGCCTTTCAAAACCTCGCGAGCTGACGACGTAGACAATATTTTTATGCTTCACGGTCGCGTTTCGGACGTTCAGTTCGACTGTGTGTGTGTATTGTATGTGCATATGTTCACTCGTAAAACGTTAGTGATATGGTATAAATACTTGCTTTATAATGGCATTGTCGTAGTCTTGAATGAAAACCGCAACAAAAACCTATTATCTCTATTATTGCTAAAATCAGCTGAACTGAATCTGTGGGATTTACAAAAACTGAATAGTGAAAAGGCAAAATTAGTAATGCATTAAATAAACTAAGTTTATTAGGTTACATGTGTTCCATCCGTGTCAGTGTGGCTGAATGTGGTTAGAGACCCTTTTTATAATCTTTAAAGTAATCTAGAGGTTATATAGCTTAACTGGGTCTATTCAGTGTTTCTGATTATCTTTTCATTGAAGATTAGTTCTTTGTCTTTGTAAAATGTCTTGCATATTGTCAGAGAATGACACATATGGCATCGATTTTGATTACTGAACAAAATGGCTGCCAGCTTTGTCTGCAGTTGTAATTTATTTCATCTCTGATTTTACGTTGTCATCATTTAATGGAATAAAACATTTGACTAAAATCAAATTTTTTCCCCCTTTCCCCCCTTCTTCCTTCCTCCATTATTGTCCCTCTTCTTGTCGCCCTAGGCTGCTGGTTGGGGCATTTGCACACGGCCGGTAAGTTTGCATAGCGCTTGCCGTTACCTTCATGCTGACAAGATGGGTCTAGTGAGGGACAGGTGTGGTGGAGATGTGGGTTAAACAGGAAATTGACAATCTTGGTTTGGCAGTTAAGTTTCTTAACATCCAGAATATATGGCTTGTGCTGGTGAAGCTGTTTTTCACATTATTCAGGTTCTGTGTTTTTAGTGTTTTAGGAGTCTAGCCCTTAGATTTGGTGTATGTGGAAAAACTTAAGCAGTTCAGTGTGAAGATGAAGTGGTAGTTCTTCCCGAGTGAGTTAATGGTCTTCCAGCTGACTTAAAAAAGCCTCATAATCAAGGCAATCACCTAGTGCAGCTTGCTGCACCTCTGAGACGGACTTCCTTTTTAACTCTTATTTTCAAGCCCTCTAATCTAATCACCCGTCATATATACCAATTTTCACGATCCGATCAGTTCCTGATGGATACATAGAAAAGGTCTGTTTGAAGAGTCAAAGTATTTATTCGTTTTGGACTCTTTGAATGAGAGTACAGTTTCTCCTGTATGAAAGGATTGCTCTTGCTTTTTTATTCTGTCTCTCAGCAGGCCTCAGGACCAGCTTTAGTTTACTTGATTATTTGATTTGGGCTGTGGAGCTGATCCTGTGTCAGCTATGACAGGGGGAAGTAATTAAAGCCATTTGTTTCTCCTCCCAACATGGAGTCGGTGGTAGTGCCAAGCAAGCAAAATTGTAGGAACAAGCATATTTAAGATGACTGAATATTTAGATTAACGTAGTGTATTTGAATAACAGTAGCCTATTCAGACAGTTTTCCCCTCTTTTTTTAATAATGGAATTAACATTAGATGTAAGGCATTTGAAAATCAAACAGATAGATTTATAAAATGCTACAGGAAGCCAAAAAAGGTAATCGTGAATCCCATGAACTGGGTGTTACAATTACTTTATTTGTTAGCGATCGTTACATGATTTTTTTTAACCTGTGGGTTGTTCCGTTCTTCAACATGATTGTGTAATAACAGTTTGGTTCTTGGACAAGTTAAGTTGAGTGTCTGAGCCTATTGGTTGTAAAATGCTACCTGTGAATGCGTTGCAGTGGTTACGTGATACCTTGAACAAGTCATTTAACTGTTTAAGGGTGGGATGCCGTAGCACACCATGGCAGTCATTTTTCTCTTCATTCCTAAAATTAGGCAACAGGATCTTTTTAATGTAGATCTTTATAAATGACGACTTTTGTAGTATAGATCAAGTTTGCAGATCATTCAAGAAGTAAGACAAGCATGTGTGATTGTGAGAATTTGCATGCATAGAATTGAGAATTATAATATTTTAGCTGTTAGTCAGTCTGGATATGTTCTCTTATCCATGCCTAACTTGCACCTAGAAAATGTTCAATTTCCAGAATTGGACTACCATAAAATTTCCTGTATGATTCCTTTCATGTGTGAGCATATTTGTATGCGTGTATAGGCCTAAATGTATGTTCTACTCCTCAAAATGTAAAAAAAAAATATTTAATCCCGTTCATTTCCATTTTCATGAATCCATCATCTTAAAACTCTCCTGTAGCCTTATAGTGTGCTTCCAGTGTAACCAACTGTGGGTTTTGAAATCTGGTTTTCTTTAGTTTCACTGTGCTAGTCATTTCCAGTTGCCAGAGGAGCATTTGACAGTGTCATTTGTTGTCAAGCCATGAATCAACTTGACCCTAGAGTTTGAGCATGCTGTCCTGAGAGGATCTGTGTTTAGCGGCAGGAGCATCCATATTTAAAGTGACATATTTGGCCTGAGAAAAATTTATCTAGGTTAAAGGGTTAGTTCACCCAAAAATTTAAATTAGCCCATAAATTACTCGCCCTCAAGTCATCCTAGGTGTATATGACTTTCTTTATTCAGACGAATCCAGTCGGAATTATATTTAAAATGGTCTTTGATCTTTCAAGCTGTTTAATGCCGCTCAGCGGGTGTTGCATGCATCAGTCCAAAAAAAGTTAAATTAAAAAGCGCCCATCCATAAAAAATAAAAAAAGTGTCTCACACGACTCCGGGGGGTGAACAAAGGCCTTCTGTAGCAAAGCTATGCGTTTTTGTAAGAAAAATGTCCGTATTCAAAACGTAATCACTTTAATGTAGCTTGCGCCAACAGTTGTACACAGAAGCAGTTCCGGGCGGATGACGTATGAGGGCAGCTTTGCGCATGCGCTGCTCAGAAGTGACGAACGCGGAAGTGCAGGGGAGAGATCAAAACAAAACACCAGTCACTTATTAGAAGTACAAAACGAGGATTTGTAAAGAGGAATGAATTTCGATACAAGCCAAGAGGAGACTGGTTTTCCTTTGCTAAAGTAAGGAAACTTTGCTTCCTTTGCTCCTGTTAACAAACGTTGGTTTTCACGAGACTCACCGGCGCATGCGAGCACAAATTATGCCAACTCACACATTAAACATAATTAGTTAGCTTGACAGATATGTGGATCACATATGAAGGTTAAAATGGCGATGGACGAGTGCAGGAGGTTAAAGCATGTTGTAAGTTGTAAAGTTTGTTACTTTGCTGCACATGGACAGAACACACAAGCTCGCACATAACGTACAGATCGCGCACATACATTCAGGAATGGAGAAAATTTGGTCAACGCTGTCCTGTGATTTATCAGCTTAAAAACGGAAAAGTTACAGCATATTCTTTCTGTTTCTGAAGTAACTACACTCAGCTCCGCCATAGTAGAGAGACATTGCACAGACAAGTGAGCTAAGTGAGTTAAGCAGTCATTTAATATGGACTTGGGCTAATTGTAGTGTTCCAATAAACCATGTTAAAACTATTCTTCTAGTATTATGCATTTATTTTAATATATTTTCTGTACAGAATGTTGATTTTTCAAGCATAGTGAAATAATTTAGCCATGGAGAGGTGTTTCTGATAGGTGGAGTGGGAAAGGGTGAACCTGGAGCGGAGTGATTATTGAATGCTTGGAGCGCGGAGGGGAAATTGTTGCCGCTCCACTCCGCTCACATACTCTGGTTTTGACTAACTGTTTCTTACCAGTTTTTCTGAAAGTAGCGCTCTCAGAATAATGGTCTGCACAGTTTTATACCGATTATGCCCTAATAAATAAATTGTTCTTTTATCAGGAAAAGGTTAAAAACACATTTCACTCTGCATGTGAACACCTTTAGCAGCATTCTGTCAGTTTGTTCAATTGTTAGTTAGTGTTTTGTCTTGAAAACTGAACAAAAAGGAAATTGGTTGCTTTGTCAGGGTTTTATGAGTTGATTTTTCATGGTATTCAAGAGTTTGGTATATTCAACCCTCTACATTGCGAGTAAATCACTCGCAAATGTGACTAAATCTTACTCTGGGCGACTAAATATCTAACATTAGCCATTGGCTAATAAATTCTTAGATTTTACACTCCAGTATGTGTGTGAGGCGTTCAACACAGATTTTCACTCGATAAACATGCTGACTGAGCGCTTGAGAGTTTCGCTCTCCATCAAGCGATCTGTACTATTTGGATGCGCTCAATGGATCATGTCATGTACTCAATGAATGCGCAGTATGTAGCATGCAGTGCACCTGTATTTGACGTACCGTAAACTAGTGTGAAGGCGCACGACTCGCCGTCGCTTTACTGATAGCGCTGTGTTTCTCACACATGCAAAGAGAGAGAGCGAGAGTCTTGCATACCACGCTGAATCGACGCGCTACATGTAAACCATATTCTTTGTTGTATTTTCCTGTCAAAATAACAGTTAATTTGGTATTATTCAGCTTTTAAGAACAAGCAGAAGATATGCTGGTGTCTCGGCAGTAGGCGGAGCTAATGCGCAAACAGCTCTCGTTGGCTGGCGCTCATTTATTACCGTCCCTGTTTCAGCAAATCAGTTCGAGCGAACGCTGACAACGTGATTAATATTCATGAACCCAGCAGATAATA